TCCTCAATAGTACAGGGAGAATCCTCTAATCCTAATCAATAAATTTAGCACTGAAGTCCAACAGTGTATCCATAACTAAAGTGATAATAAGGACAAAAATGGAGTAAAAAATTGAAAAAAAAAAGTTTGCATTAGGTACCTTGATGTAGACAAATGGTTAATTAGCGCATATCAGCTGAAGAAAATGAAAGCAAGAAGCATGGACATAATGTGTTAAGAATCACACATTTGTTTGCTTAACTTGGCTCAATATTGAAAATAACTCATGGTTCTTGCAAAACCCTGAATGGTGATATAGATAAAGTAATGGAAGAACCAATGGTAACATATTTTATCCTTGCTGTTCCAGTCTCAAAGAACCAATTGACAGACATCTTGGTCTTGACAAATAAAACAAGAAAAGTGACCACAGAGGATTTGGTTTTCTTGTGGGGATTCAGGGCTGGGATGACTGCTGGAGTGTTGAAGAAGATCCTCCATGCATCTCATGATGTTTTCTCTGAAGATTTTGAGGTCAAGTTAGTTGATAAGAGCTGTGCTGTTGTAGTTTTCTGGACACCTGGTTTGGCTGAGGTGTTACTCAAGGTAATCAGTTCAGGGGGAGTTGGTTCTAGTGCTTTTGATGGATATGATTTCAGAAGGACTAAAAGCAGCTGATTATGAGGCTTACAAGAGAGTCTGCAGGATGCGTTTATGGGAGTTGCATTTAGCTGACTCATTAGACAAGGCATTGTTAGATGAGTACCCTCATGACTGGGTAGCTAATTCCAGATCAGAACCCCTGGGGATATGCTGGAATAATGAGTTTATCATTAAATTGGATGATCTGTGAGAAGCTATTGACTTTCAATATTTTTTAAAGCTTATCAGATATGATGCAAGGGTTCATTGGCCGACATGCCCGAAAATCATTCATTGCTTATGTTCATTTGAGAGTAATCAGGTGCTCTCTGTTCTGTCCAAGGTTGAATCGTTGCAATGACAACCCATACTGTTGGGAGTTTTTGGCCAAAAAATGTTAGCAATCAGAAAATTAGTAATTCTTGAGGCCAATGAAGAGGTTGGGTTTGTTGCAGAACTTCATATACATACCCAATTATCAAAAAGAAAAATTGATGAACTCAACTCCAAGCAATAAGATAAGGTGTACAGAAAACGGTTGCAGATAATCAGAACAATGTCAAAAATAAAGTTAATGATATAGCACAAAATTAAAAGAAACAAACAAAGGAAAAGAAAAAAAAAAAAGAAAAATAAACAATGATGTTTCCCTTACAATCATATCTCTGAGTGCCTTAAATGATTGATTGCCAATTTGAACTGGGACAATGGGAGGCCATTGGGTGGTTTGAAAACTCTCAGTCTCAAAAGAATTAATCCCCAAACAAAATACAGACAATTCAACTAAACTTAAGATCGAACAGATGAGGGGTGATCCATTGAGCTTTTCAACTTCTGTTTTCTTTTTTTTTTTTGGACATTGTTATGTTATGGGTTGAATGATTGAACCACCGGTTAACCATCAAACAAACAAGGTTTCTGGGAACAGATTCGTGAATAGTAAAAACAAAACAAAAAGATTGTGAATAGTAAAACAGCTGCCACACTAAAACAAAACAAAACAACCACCGGTTAACCACGATAGTGAAAAACAATGAACCATCAACAAAAAACAACGAAACAAATCTAACAAACTTACCATTGAGAATGGAACCACGATAGTGAAGTTCTAGGCTCAGGTTTGAGTATGTTTGTGATGAGAAAAGCTAAGATCGAAATAAGAATAAGAATAAGATTTATTCTGACGAGGGAAGCAACCTGGAAATGAAAAGAAAATCAAATTCAAAGGCAGACCTCTATCAAACTCTCGAACCCTCGAACTCTCAAACTCTGGAACTCTTGAAGAGGGCTCAGAACCAGTCTCCTCTCTACGACTCTTGAAGAGACATCGAGATTTTCTTCCCAACTTTCTTGCTCTAAATCGCCTAGAAAATCGCAAAAACCTAGATTTTCTTGCTCGTGAAGAATAACTTTTGGGCGGGAGAAAAAAATTTTTTCTCGACCAGAAGGGGATTTCGCGCACGGGAGAAAGAAATTTTTTCCTCTCTGTCGACCTACGTTTCTCCACACCGGTCCATTATAAGGTTAAACCGGTTTAATTCCGGTTCCCATAAAAATCCGCCGAATGTACATTAATGACGGCCGCGCCAGTTTTTAAAATGAATGTAGGCGGCGGTCTTTGAAAGTTCGCCGCCTTAGATATTCCTATAGTGGCGGTCACAAATTCCGCCGGCTTGGACTATCTTTAACCATGAATAAGTTGATATTCTCTTACAGGTAGTGCTGGCAATGTAAGTTCCGAAAACTGCTTCCAGAACTCATTTGTCTAGATTGTGGGTCATTGAGGGAAAAGATGAGCCTAACATGGATCAAGCTTGTAAGATCCATCCTGCAGTCTACTATCTCCAGCAGGATGATCTGCTCATCAGGGTATGTGTGATCAATGGCTCGCCAACTAGAAGCCACCTTCAATGCAACAATCCCAAAGCTGAACACATCGGCAGCTTTTGTTGTCGCAACACTTTGTTTTTGGAAGCTCTCAGGCGGCAAATACCTAATTGTACTACCGATTTTGGTTGTATATGCCAATCGGAAATGGTAACTTCTTGTCGACGAGGACATACATAATGGGGTGGGATATTCTAGTTCATGATCGACGTTGAATGCAATTTCTAGTAACCGTTCAGCGAGTGCGGAGCAAATTACAGTTCTTGAAAATTTTCATCAGTTGGGTTTTATTTTGAAATTTTAAAGTATAATGGAAGGCAAATTTGATATTTCATTTTCTTCGTTGATACTTAACGGTGATGTCAATTGTTAGAAAACTTAGGGATACTTTAAGACAATATATAGACAATAAGAGTAAAGTTAGTCGATTAACTAAACCACAATGGTAGTTTAAGAAATTTGCCCTTTAATATATATTAATAGGTTCTATTTGTAGCAGAAAAAGTTAAATATTTTAAAGTACCATTGAGTTTTAGGAAATTGACTTGCTCTACCCCTAGAAATTGTCTTAAAGTACCCACAAGTTTTCTGAAAATTAACTAATTCCTCCGTGCCATTAGTGTCCATTAACGTTCCATGACAATCCATTCACATGTGACAAATAGATTTTTGTTTTTTAATCTCAATGTTACCATATTTTGTGGTTGATTTTGTCCTCTACTATTCTTCAAAATTTTAAAATAGAACTCAACAGATCCAACCTAGGGAAAAGAACCGGGAAGAACGAAATAAGAAACTAATTTAACATAAACCAATTAAAAATCAGAAAATTACATAATCAGTAGAGCTATTTTAAATATTAGGGGTAAGTGTTTGGTTATTAGTTGGTACTTCATATCAAAAGCTTCAAAAATTTCTTTAAGCTTGTTTGTTGAAACTCCCAAATCCATGTTGAAGACCACCAATGAATTGCCAAATTTTCCACATGAATAATAAGTTGCGACCCAACAATGAATTGCCAGTTGTAGTAGCGGAGGTGGTGTTAGTAGAGAAGAGGAGAAAGAAGATATGACGAGAGAACCTGAAACCCAAAGCAAGGCTGATGAGGCAGTGGAAACGGTGAAGGACTATCTAGAAAAATGAGGGAGCGGATTACCTGGAGACAAAAACATACACACCCGGCTGAACTACCTATCATGGTTGAATATACAAGTATTCAGTACCGGCCCACAGTGAGCACTGGCGTGTTCAACTGTGATAGATAATTCAGCCAGGTGTGTATGCTTTTGTCTCCAGCTCATCCGGACTGGAAGAATGAAGCTAGAGGTTTAAAGCGTTGTTGACGGAAGAGTCAAGTGGATTGGTGGACCAGTTGTTCTAAAACTATTCTTCCTGTTCAAATGTTGTAGGTTTATTCAAATATTTTGTTTTGAAAATTTAAAGAGGAATGAAAGATAAAACAGTCTTATCCATATGTCCATTAACAGATGCTAATGGCAGGGGAAGTTATAGTCAATTGTCATAAAGTTTGGAGATACTTTAATACAATTTCTAAATAGTAGGTTAGAGTAAGTCCATTTCTAAAACTTAAAGGATACTTTAATAGATTTTCCAAAAAAGGGCCCTAGGGGTGACCCACTTGTTTTCAACTTATGCCAACAGGAAAATTAAAAAAAAATGATTTATTTTTTCAATTGAATACCATTTTTTTAAAGAAATCATTCTTTTTTGGGAAATTGTCTAAAACTCACCATGAGTTTTTAGCATTTTTCTTAAACTCACGTAATTTTTCAAAACATCCAGGGAACCCTATGCATGTTAGTAAGTTGACATTAAATAGATTAATAGATGTTGGTAGATTGCTATTTTACCCTTTGTTCTGTTGTAAATGGAAAATAAAGCAAAATTTTAATAATAAAGAAATAACAAAAATACATCTCAAATTTTCAATCTAAAAAATTTTCTGCCCATTTACATGTTTAAATAAAAAGAGAGCTTCAAATAAAAAAAAAAGGAATGCGATTAATAAGGCTGACATGCCATTCAGGGGCAATTTGGTTATAAAAATTGCATTTATGCTTTAGAAAAAAATATATTGACATGGGATTCCCTGGATGTTTTGAAAAGTTATGGAGAGTTTAAGAGAAATGCTGAAAAGTCATTGTGAGTTTTAGACAATTCCCCTTCTTTTTCTTTTAATTTACGTGTAGCCAATAGCAGCTTTAGGGTATTGTGGGAATCATTGACATGGGGTTCCCTGGATGTTTTGAAAAGTTATAATGAGTTTTAGACAATTTCCCTTCCTTTTCTTTTGGTTTACATATAGCCAATCGCAACTTTAGCATGTTGTGCAAATGATTTGGTTTAATTAAAAAGAAATCAAATTTACCCAAAACAGGAATAATTTCTCAAAACACTAATTAACAAAATGCTTTTTATGCACAAAGTTATTTTGTATTTAATCAGTAAATGAAGTACAAAAAAAGTATGTTCCCATAAAAAAAATTACAAGTATATATTCATTAAGGAGCCTCTCCTCTTGTTTTCTTCTTCTTGTCCCTATTAAAGAAAATTGATAGATGAACTAGTGATACTAGAACAACAAAGGAAGCCCTAAGATGAATGGGAGGTATATGTGCATGGGGTTGAGGGCTGCCTTGTGGGCACTGTCAAAATGAAAACGGTTATAAGGGTCGCCGTAGTAACCGTCGTTGGCACGATACATGTAGTACCACACGTTGAAGTTTCCTGCAATGTCAACAACATTCTACTTAATTCTTGTTAATTGAATTGAATGTTAATAAATTCAAATGTTAATTATCATAATAATTCATAGGCCCCCTTCCTTTTTTCGGATAAATTGATCAACTAGTAAATTGTTCATGAAGATATCGGAGAGTATTAGTTACCCTTGCAAGATCAGTAAGCAATTTACCCATCCCCTGAATAGCATAAAAATATTAAAAAACCTAGGGTTTTTTTGGATTGCAGTTGGAATCGGAATTGAAATCCTTTAGAATCAGAATCGGAATGGTCCATTCCTATAGTATGCTTGTTTCAGATAGGAATGAGAATGGGAATTAAAATCAGCATGAATAGGATTTCATTCCTAAGGAAGAGACAATGAATGATCTCATTCCCTCAAATGGGGAAATGCCATTCCAGTAGGAATGGGATTCAAATTCCACCCAACCAAATAGTTGGAATCGGAATAACTATTTCTTTCTGATTCCGATTCCAAACCCTTATTCCCGCGAACCAAACAAGGCCTTATTTATCCTAATATATTTTACCTAAAAAGCACTTGCCAATTGGAAAGTTTTTTTTTAAAGATCTTTTGGAAGATTTTACAGCCAACGATGTAGTGAATTTTTATGTAATGATTTTTGCAGTTTAAAGATCGTTTGGTTGAGGCGCACCTTTTTGCACAAAGATGAGACAAAAAAAGACGAGAAACTCCATTTTTAGTTTTCTAAAATAAGCTCGAATCGAACTTCTTGTATAATTTCAGAATACAATCTTTGGACGAAAAATTCCTCCAGCCAAATAAAAAAAAGACCGAAAAACAAAATACTAGACTTCTAAAAAACCGACAACCCACACAGAAAAACATACCAAAAAGGGCCATAACCGATAAGGGCCATATTATATTAATGCAAGTAAAAACGAACGAGGCGTCAGTCAAAATCAACAAGTTGGGGCGGGCGGGATGGGATTACCTCTATCTCGACCGTAGCTGCATCCGGCCCTGAGTGTGTTTCTGACGTCTCGTAGGGTGGCTCTATTGTAAAATGTGAAGTGAGATAATACATGACTGACGCAGCGGAGAACCAGGTCCGTCTCCACAAAGCAAGGCCCTCCGCAGAATGCGTCGGTTTCTTGACGGGGCACGTCCAGCCGCCCGCTCTCCGTCAGTCTATAAGCTTCGTAGCACCTTTTGTATATCTTAATTATTTTGTTTCAATAAAATATGAAATCACAAATTAAACAGAACGCCAATTGTCAGTACACATAGTAGAAACAGTCGAAACTGTGGTTCAACAACCATATCGTTTCACGTTAGAGCGTTGTTTTGGTTTTGGTTTTGGTTTTGGCATTCGTTTTCATTTTAAGTTAAAAAACAAAGCAAAAATCAAACATCTTTCATACAGGGTCTAACTTACATAACCATTGTCGAAACACTGCAACGCTCTCCCCACGATTTGAGACGTTGGGTCGCCCTCTGCACATTCTCCCGTCAAACTCACATTGTTAAATTCCAACACTTGAAAAAAAAAAATTAAATTCAAATATAAAGGAGGGTATTAAATGGATTATGGCCACCTCCCCTCACAACTAAAAGCTATGAATGGATCAGAATTCAGTTTGAGCCAGATGATTTTTATTAATCTGATTTATTCTTTCCAGCGTGCCTCGCACCGATATCACAACACTTGCGGCCGCAAGTTTGGAATATCTTCTATATTTGTATATTTTCATTCATGGGAAGATATTCGAGGAGTGGAAGAAGAGGGGAAATTTATATGGAAAACTCTATTATGATAGGGACTTTTGGACCATAAGGGGGCCATGGCTCCACCCATGGGCACGCTCTATGAGAAGCAAATCTGAACTCGGAGAGTGCAATAAGCCCACGCCCATACAAATGCTGCTGTTCACATTTAAACAGAAACTATATATATATATATATATATATATATATTATAAGAAATTTTATGCCTAATATTAATGTACAGACCTACCTGATATGCAGCAGGAGACAGAAAAGAAGAAGAGAGTTAGAAGAAAGATCCAACATTTCCAGGTTAACGAGAATGCCATCTCATAACCTCTTGAGAGAACTGAAAGGCCTGAGGGGAGAGGAAGGAAGTCATTTGTTTGATATTTATACAAATAATCTTATAGCTGTAGATTGTGTATTACAAAAGCATTTTTCTTTGATTGACCAAAATACCCTTGTTTAATTCTTACATTTCTATTTCCGTCAACGATCTCCCAGCTACTTTCTCTGGCATAGTCACGAAATCACAAAGTTCATAAGCCTTCTGTTTTGAATGGGCTCATTTCGAGACCTTTAACGTTAATTCTTGGGAATGTGCTACCTCCAGAGCTGTGTAGCCCATTTAATCAAAAAAGAAATCACCCTATTATTGACCATGGTTTTAAAAACCAACCACACTTTGACCACCGATTCCCGGGTCTGATTTTTGGGTGTAAAACCGGACCCAGAACCTTGATAAGTTTCTGGGTCAAATGATCCGACCGTCCAGTCTTATATAATTGAAAGTAAAATTGGGAAGAGAATGGACAGTTGGAATGTGTGACCAGACCCCATCTCGAAAACTATATTCTGGGTCGACCCCTTTCAAGAAAAAGCGGGTTAACCAGAGAGAGAGAGAAATGCTACCTTCTGCTGTGCTACTTCCTTTCCTATACGGATAAGGTTAAATATGTAAATTCCATTGCAAAATTAAAGGGATGTGGACGGTTGGAATGTAAGTCACCAACTTTTACTTGTTGCTGACTTCTGTTTAACCTAAACCTGCTTTGTTTTGACTTCATCTGTTTATCTCGTCACGGAAGTTGGGTTCTTAGGCCAATAATGAAATGGGCTTGCTTCTGGGCTTCTTTTTCTCTCTTTGTGTATTTTTGTTTTTAAATTTCCAGTGGCTTGATTTTTTTTCTCCTTTACAGACCGATTAGATCAAAGTTGTTCAAAAGTTGATCTTGATCAGACCAACGTCTCTGATCATGACAAGTTAACCAAACGTGAATTATTTGATTTATTGTTATTCAAATGCTTTCTCAATACTCTACCCAGGGAAGACCGTGTTCTTCCTTTTCCTTTTGAATCAAGAAACCTTTATATTGAGAGCTTTTCTCATTGTAGAATGCGTTTGATCAATATAATAAAATGTAGAACGACATATAAAACCATGGGCGCTTGCTGTTCTCATAGTTTACTATTAATCATATGGTTAATAAAAAGAAAAGAGATAATTTTAGAGATTTATATATAAGGATTGGCTCATAATCTAATGATCTAAGCTTTTGGATTAAAATCGGTATCCAACTCTTATGTATAAATCCTGTTATTGCATAACATACATTTTAAAAAGTACAACTCAGATCTATTCACTATAATTTGTTATATCCTCTAAAATAGACTAGCTCTTACAAGGATATGGTTTTCTAGATATATCTTAATTGTTACTTGTTACTTGTTTTATATTATCTCTTCAATAGAATGATTGCATTCAGTAGTTTAATTTTTGCTAATAAATAAAAGTAGGTGTTTGGTATCAGTGTTAGCAGTAATGTTTTTAATATTGATCTATATTATCCAATGTCTAAGATGATGCCATATTGATGCCACATCATTGCACCGTTGGCAGCAATGCAATGTTTTCTTAGAAAATATTGAATTTGGCATTGCTCCAGACCACATTTTTCCGATTTCCAAGGTGTGGTCTAGAGCAACCTTTTTTTTTTTTTCTAAAAAAACAATACCAAACATGAAGGCGTTGTTTGAAGCATCACTTTCTCTGATGTGGCACCTACATGGCATCGTTTTCTCAGAAAACAACATCGATGCAAAACATCACCAAAGGCTTCTCCTTTGCCTTGAATAGATGCATTAAATTGGCTAGTGATTTGGGCGACCCCAAGTTTTGATAAATGGTATGGTATTGATCAACGTTGGTCTCCTTTTGTCACCTATTTTTTACAATAGTAGTCTACCCTAGGTTACTGAAGGCTAGGGCTGTTCAAATTCCGTTATCAAATCGAGAACCGAACTGAATTAGTCAATTCGATTTGGTTATTTTGGTTTTTGGTTCGATTCTGTTTTAAGATTTTAAAATTTTCAGTTTTCAGTTCGGTTTGAGAAAAAAATGCAATCGAACCACACCAAAAACTGAATTAACCAAAATATACACATATATTTACATTTTAATTATAAATATTCATATTAATATTGGCATTAATATATACTAACATTACTATTTATATTAATAATAATATATAATATGTATTTTAATTATAAATGTTGTTATATTTTAATAATAATCATTAATATAAATATAAACAACATTTATATTTTAACTAAATGAGTTAACCGAATTAAAACCAAAAAAACCGATTTAAATTCAGTTTGATTTGGTTCAGTTTCGTATCTTGTTTGATATAACCAAAATGTTGGTTAGTCATGAAAATGACATAGCCAAAATGTTGGTTAGGTTCTATTTTCGACCCAACTCAACCCAACCGAATGAACACCCCTTCTGAAGGCACCCATTTAAAGGTTAAGTAGTGGACAGCTGGACATTAATTATATTATGAATATCTCTTTTTTTCCTCATAAGGCTCAATTTGGGAAAAGTGCATAAACATGTTTAGAAATACAATGTACAAGACTTTGCACTGTATATATTTGCATTTGCACTCATTCCAAACTAAGTCTAACCAAAATAGATTTAGTATGGCCATAAGAAGAATGCTTCGTTTATCAAAATTATGAGAGTGCCCAAATCACTATTTTGATAAAAGAGGATGTATATGATATGATCTTATTTGAAATGAAGTTTTTTTTTTTTTTTTTTGTATTAATCACTGCGTGGCACTCCCATAAGGATTCACTACTCTTTTAAATGAACAGTACAACATCACATCAACATCTCTTTTCTTAAAGAAATGATAATAGTGGGATTTGAAACCGCACAACTGCTAGGGCAATTTACCAACGCACTAACTGGACTACCCCTCAGTTATTTGAAACGAAGTTGGATACAACCAAAATGAATGACATGGGCTATAATAGTAAAAAAGGATTTAAGCACTAATAATTTAATAATTTAATGAATATGTCATTAAACATAATGGAATAACGAAACAAGACTCATATAACCAGCTAGATATGGTTGGGATAAGGTTTTGATGATGATGATGATATATTTTTTCCTTATAAATAAAAAAAATATTATTAATCTGAACATGGATTTAAACAGACCTTCAAACCTTCAAGTATATACATTGCCTGAAGGACTTTACTAAGTGTAAGAATTGATGTGTTCATTTTTATATCATCTAACTTCTAGTTGGTTGAGCTGAATTGAATTGAGTCATGGTCTTACCCTTTTTATTAATAAGTAGTGATATTAGGTGTTGTTCCTTGTCACATTCAATGTAGAAGTAGAATCTGTCTATTATCATTTCTACCTCACTTTCTGGTTACCATAAAACATAATTGTTTGGTAATGACTTAAGTAAAAAATGTGTTTAGATCGAGTGAAAGGTTTTTTTTTTTTGTTAATCTTTTTGACTAATCAAAGCAAAATCAGGCAGTTGCAACTTATAAGTCATTTTTCACCACTAAACCAGAGAAAATTTAACAAAACAGCAGTTGGAAACTTTTCCTTGAATTGATCTTAATTCCACGAGTCATTACTTGGTTAACAAAATGTCTTTTTAGCTAATCTGGATATATCTTTCTACAGACATCACACGTTTTGTTATTTAATCAAGAACCTGAACGGCCATCAACCAAAAAATTAGAAGAGAAAAAAAAAAATCTCTGACTTCATCCGCTGAGACCACCTTTATTGCACCAAACCCATAACCACGGCGGACGGGCGGAGGAAGTGGACTAGAGCATTAATGGCCTGAGTATGGAAAGACCTGAACTGAAATATTTATTAAGGCTGCATTTGGTTGGTGATGCCGCTCAATATGAGGTAATGCAAGAATCAATGATGGCAATCAGATAGTCATTGCTGGTAGGTCGGGGTTGAGTTTCAATAATGAGGCCGTGCTTTAAGACCTGCAAGGAGGTGGTGGATGGCTGGCCCGAGCTATAGGGATGCTGGTCCAGGCTAATTAGTAGTATGGGTGTTAGAAGTTGGGAGAGTCCCTTACCCCGAGCATTGAGTACCTTTTTATAGCCAGAGGGTCCGTATCCAGATTGGAGTAGGTTTCTAGGGAAATCGAGGCAGAGTTCCCCGCCGATGTTACAGGGGGTAGAGTCCTACACGGTGGAGTTGTCTTCCCATCCCTATCCGCTAGGCAGGCTTATTTGTGAGGGGCGTAGCTGACGTGGTCGGCGGGATCATGGTAATGTCGTAGCTCGGCCAAACTGTGCTGATGTGGCCGAGTTGTGATAGATGGCCACGGGCCTCTGGGCCAGCTCAGCCATGTCCCCAGCATCACTTCCCCCGTTTCGAAGCCGAGGGATGAGGTTCCCTAGGTTCGTTACCCGGCCGAGGAACTTCCGAGCATGCGTATCATCTATGTCGTGTTGGTCGTTGTCGAGGAGTCCTCCGATTGTCGGCTGTAGAACTTAAATGAGAACCAAAATTTCAGTTCCCGAACCACTTCCCCAGTTCTATTGTCGAGGATGGGGAGTGCTCGGCCAGACTACTGTGCGGCCTTGTGGTCGTAAGTTGCCTAGCCAAGGATTTGAGTGGCCTAGCCAAGGATCCGTGTCGAAGGTTGGACCGGTATTGCGGGTCTCTGCGTCAAAGGTTGGATCGGTATTGCGGGTCTCTGCGTCAAAGGTTGGATCGGTACTGTAGTTGAATCGACGCAATTAATGGGTGCAACCGCTGCCTGTCGAGGGTGCAGCTTCGGTTTCTAAGGCCTCTTGCCGTACGTTATTGGTCACGTCAATTGGCCTTCCGAGGCGTTGTCATAGGTGTTTCATCTGCACCGTTGATCTCTCCTCGGTCAGTGCCCTTGATGGTTATAAAAGGGAAGAGGGGGGGGGGGCTATCCTTAGTATTGCTTGCAAGAGTGTTTGGCATTCACAACTATCAGGGGTACTATTACTTCTCCACTCGGCGGAATATTCGGTCG